CTCGACTTGTGGCGTGAAGGGCCGTTGCCACCAAGGGTGGGCGGTCAGCCCGCGATCTCAGCGCACCCTGTCGGGGCTCGTCTCGATGGCATGCTGCAGGGTGGCAGGCATGACCTGGTGGTGATTCCGATAGCCTGGACACTCGCCGAACCTGTGTTGCGCCGTGCCCAGGGCGCGCCTGCCCGCCTGGAGGCACAGGCAGTGGGGGTCAGGGGCGTCGCCGCTGGCACGAGCGCGCGCGCCTGCGTCCAGGGGCCTCCGGCGATGGCCTGCGACGCGAAGATCGCGCCTGCGCCCCGGCGCCTGCGATGCTGATCGCAGAAACCCTGCAATGGCTCGATGAAGGGCATCGGAGTCAGGCTGGCCCTCTCCCCATCGGCTGCGAACCAGCGCGCCCGCTGCTCGCGCTCCGCGCCCCGCTTCGCCTGCGCAAGGGCGTCGCGCGGGCGCGATTGTAGCGCGTTGATTTGGAAGCCTTCCCTCGTGATGCTTCTTCTATTCTCTGTGAGCAAGCTCCTGCTGTCTCCGCAGCTTCTCTGCCCAAGTGCCCCCCCGTCGGCCGCGCGCGCGGACGCCTTATGCAGGCGGTCGCACAAGCGGCTCTCGGGGGCGCTGGGGAGATCTTCTTCAGGGGGCTGCGGGCCGCGCTCTACGAGCGGCTCGTGTCTGCCCCCCTCTCTGTGCTTCAGGACCAAGGGCCTCCTGCGCCTGCCTGGTCCATCCAGCAGGCGGACTCGTCCGAGGGTGAGGGGGCTTACTGCCCCCTCCCTTCGGCGGGTTCCGCCTGCCCCACCGTCTGCCTCGGGCTGGCGGTGGATCTGAGCGGCGGGGTCTCTCCCTGGCTGCTCAGCACGGTCGTCGCCCTCCTTTGGGTGACGGCCGCGTGCAGCGCCTGCGCAGGCTGCTGCTTCGGGCTGCTGGGCCCGTACGTGTGGCGGAGGCTCAGGGCCTCCGCCTGGCCGCGCGGTGCGGTTCCTGCTTCCCCTGAGCAGGACCGCCGTGCGGCGCGAGCGCTGGCTTACGGGGTTCCGCCTCGGCCTCGAGCGCTCGAGCGGGCAGGCGCCCAGCATTCGGGCGGCAGTTCCCACGACAGCGCCCATTGATGGCTGAGCTGCCACCAGTTGGCGGAGGGCCTCTATGGCCCGAGCTCTACCCATTCGCGGCTCCCACGGCTCGCGATTACGCACGATGGCGCCTAGACGACGGCGACACCAGCTGGGCAGCTATCCCCCTCGCGTCTCGAGAAGGGGGCATCCTTCTGGCCCTGCCTGGCGCCTTTCGCTCTACGGCGGAGCTCGTGGCTGCCGAGGCGGATGGCTTTGCAGGAATGATAGGCCCTTTCCAGCTAGTGGACGTCCAGCTCCAGGGGGCCGCTTCACGGCCGCTCGCCACTACTGCATCCGTCCTCGTCGTAGATATCGAGGTTGCAGAGCTCGAGCTCGAGTCGCTTTACCCTCTAGAGGTCGGGGAGGACGCAGTCATCGTTCCCTTCGCCGAGGTGCGGGGCCGCGTCTATTGGCCACATCCTTCGGGGGTTCGGGTGCTTCGCGAGGGCTACGCACGCTTGCACGGCGCCCCGCCTACTGCAGGAGAAGAGCCGCTCCCAGGGGCCGATCGGGCTACTCCCTATCACTCTCGAGCCGAGACGGGCTACTCCCTATCACTCTGCCGACGAGATGGAGGAGCCCGAGGGGTTCGCGGCCGACGGGGAAGCCGACCGCACGGCCCCAAGTGCGCGATCTCCCGCGGACGCTGGAGCGCCGCGCGGCCCGCCCGCGAAGCGCGCGGGCACCGCCGCGCCGCCACGGGTCGCGGGTCCCGCTCCGATCGCTCCTGGTGCCCCTGCGGCGTCTCTGGACGACGGGGCTCCTATGACCCGTGCCGAAGTAGCTGCCGAAATGCGCGCCTTGCTTGCAGCCCACGCGGCCTCCACGATGGTCGGCAGACCCGAGCCGCTGGGCCCCGCGCCGGCTGCCCGGAGCGATCGGCCCGAGGTGCCTCAGCTTTTCAGCGACGAAGCGGTGCGCCTCGGGCTGGATCCTGCGGGGATCGAGGCCGTCCTGTCTCACGCGCCCGTGGCCCCACAGCGGGTCTCCGCGCGTCCCAAGGGTCCGACCTCCGCGCTGGCCTCGGCGTGGGAAAAGGCGCGCTCTCTTGCTGTCCCTCGGGCCCCTTCGTCCGGTTTCGGAGCGATGGGTCCCCCGCCGCCACCTGGGCTAGCCCATCCCGCTGCGGCCGACGGCTTTGCCGAGGCGGGCGGCGCCGACGGGTCAGAGCCGCCCCATGCGGCCAATCCGACGGACTTCAGCCTCATGCTACAGTGCCTGCACCAGTCCCTCCTATTGCAGCAGGGGCGGGGCCATCGCCCAACCGTCCATCCGCTTCTGGGGACCCTGAGCGACTCAGCTCAAATTCCGCCCACGAGCTCGGGCGACCCCGCGCCCGCATCGGCCCAGATGGGGGGCATTGCTCGGAGGCGCGAGTGGCAGCAAGCGCTGCTACAGCACGGCCCCGATGTGCGAGGACTGATGAAGGAGAATTTGGCTCGTGTCCTGGGCGTGGAAGTCAGCGCCGTGACCCCCATGGCCATGCATCAGTATTTTCGGGAGCACAGTCCCTTGGGGGCTCAGCCGACGACGCACGAGTTGTTGACGCATTTCGCCTTCCTCAGCGCCGAGCTGTGGCGGGCCTGCGAAGAGGGCAACCCCGAGAGAGTCCAGACTTTACTGACGTGTCAGTGCATGTTCATCGACCAGCTGGCGGGGGACCGCGGCTATCTCGAGGCCGCCTGGTTCCTTACGGGGCTGGAGCCTCCCCCGTGTCGCGTGACCAGTCGTCACACGGAGCGCGAGGCCCAGACCCCGTTCTCACCCCTGGTGGATCCTCGCTGGCTGTCGGCGCAGGGCGAATACGTGAAGGAGCTGCAAGCATTTCGGGCGCGTCTCGACGCCGAGCGCGCCGTCGCGCTCCCCAAGCATCCACCCCATCAGCCCAAGCAGCCCAAGGTCTCGAAGCCCCCCTCCAAGTCCCAGGGTGCGCCCAGGGCACCGAAGGCGGTGCCCAAGAAGGACTGAGGGCGCCTTTGGCGCCCGCCTCCTGGAAGGGTGGGCCTTCGCGGGGCCGGGGTACGCCGCCGCGCAGAGTCTGCACCGACGCCGTTGCGGCTGCTAGGCGCGTTTGGGCTCAGCGAGGGCGTGAGGGTAGGAATGCGTTCTTCCAGCGATGCTGTTGCGGCCCCGCAGGGAGGAGTACGTTCCGCCACCACGCCCTTCGCTCTGCTCCGAACCGCTTCTCGGATCCCTTCGGCCATTTTGGCCGACGCCTGCCTCAGTCGAGCGCGCCCTCCAGGGGGCCTGCAGCTCCTGAGGTTGGTGTCCCTGCTGGTGCCTGTTCTCCTTCAAGCACCCCTGCTGCTCTTGCCAAAGTCGCGCCATTCGTCGCTGACTTGTCTGCCTTGCTGCGCCTGTTTCCAGGCGCGAACATTGATATCACCCACTGGGCGGCAGCGCTGTCCCAGGTTGGGATGGGTGCTCGATGTTCTCTTGGATCTTTCTCCCGCTCATCTATGCGTGCAATGGACAGGGACGACCCGTACTTTTTGGGGCCGCCTCCCCGCGATCCTTGGCCGTGCCCGCCTGCTCCACCTCTTGGTCCCCCGCCTGACGGCTTGTCGGCGAGGCGCAGGGAGCGCTGGAGATTGCGGCGCGCGGCGCGGACGCTCGCGCAGTATTCTGTTATTGCGTTGAATTGGCTCACCTTGGGTCATCCTAGCCTCGCTCCCGCCGAGGCTCGCGTCCGCGCCACGGTCTCGCCCTGCCAGGAGGGCGTCCGCACCCGTATCGAACGGTTGTGTCGGATCGCAGTTCGCCTCGCCCGTGGCGGCAAGAGCGACTTAGGTCGAGCCTTCGCCAAGTTCGACTCCACTGAGGTCTCGCTCCATGGCCTGGCCACCCATGTTGCAGCTTTGGAGGCCTCCTTCACTTCCTCTTCTTCCGTACCCGCCCCCATGCGGCACTGCCCGACCAGCGCTCCTTCTGTGCCTGGTTCGTTGGCGGCTGCGGCGGCTTGGGACTCCACCCAGGCCGAGCCCTTCGATTTGAAAGTCAGGGCGTCTCGCATCAAGTGGGATTATTCGCCAGAGTTTGATCCCGTTCCCTTCCTCTCCGACGCTCGAGTCCGCGAAGCTTTCATCGATCCAGAGGTGATGCGGCTACCGGCATCAGAGTGGCCTGCTGGCCAGAAGGGAGCGCGCGTCCATATGGACCGCGCCGAGCTGTGGGCCCTACTCCAGAAGTGGGATGCCTGTGGCGCCCTGTACTTGACTCCTGCTTCGGACCTCGCCTGGGATGAAGCCTGTGGAGCATTCAGGGTACCGAAGGACAGCGATTTCGACAGGCTGATCCTGAACCCCACGGTCGTGAACAGCCGCTGTGCTTCAATTTCGTCCAGCACCCAGCGCCTTGGCCAAGGTTTCCTGCTGTGCCGTTTGGGGCTGGCACCTGGGGAATGGCTGGCAGTTTCTTGTGACGACCTACGGGAGTTTTACTACACTTTCCGCGTCCCTCCCGCGCGCGCCAGACGTAACGCCCTGCGCGTTCGTCTGCCATCATCTCGCTTCAAGGCCTTTCGAGCCTGGCGCCCCGAGCTTGAAGGTGTGGATGTCGCGCCCTGCCTCAATGCTCTGGCGATGGGCGACAACATGGCTGTGGAGATTGCCAACTCTGCGCATGAAGGCGTCTTGCACAGCTTCGGGGCTTTGCGGCCTCACGAGCAGGTTGTCCACCGCTCGCCCTTCCCGCGGGGCCCGTTTGTCGAGATGCTGAATATTGATGACCATACAGGTTTTCAGAAGCTCTCGTGGCGTGGCTCCGCTCCTCGCCCCGACGACCCGTGTCGCCGTGATCGTGAGGTCTTTGCCGCCTGTGATGCGGGCTACCCGCGCGTGGGCCTGATACAGCATCCAGGCAAGCGCGCGCGCGGCGAAACGCACAAGGTAGTGG